GGTTAGTGATGCCTTTTTTGGGCCTCCCCAATACCCCTAGCACTCTCATTCATCTAAATTATGTACTTAAGGATTGAGTAGGAAAGTTTTAGTAGTTTATTTTTGTAATTATGGTCTCACATCTTTTGAAGGGACCAATGGCATGGATGAGCTTAAAGATTTGAGGTCAAATCCTTCTCAAGATGGAGGGGATGATGGAGGACCATCCTTGGAGCTTCATCTAGGACCTATCACTAGGTCCATGGCTAGGAGATTGGAAGAGGATAAGGGAGCTAACACCCCTAGAGAGATGCTTCTTGTTGTTAAAGAATATTGATTAATCTCCTAAGCCTTGTTAGTATATAATTTATTTTTTATGCCTATTTTGCCCTTGTCTTTAATTTCCCATTTTTACCCTTGTATTTTGGGTATCTTAGACATAGGATTTATTTTACTTGTATTTCCCATTTTAACCTTGTATTATGGGATGCCTTAGATTATAGGATTTTATTTTGTAGATAAGGTATTTTATTAGGGTGAGAAACTAGGCCTAGATGTGTTTTTTGCTAGCCTTGGATTTATTTTTGGACTTGGCAAGGTTTAGGCCCAAGTGGAGGACACCTAGGTTGCGTGGTCTTATCATGCACCTAGATGTAGTTTAACTAAACCCAAAGATTCCATCATTGGCCAACAAGTAGCATCTAGGGTTAATTTAGGTTTCATTTAAAGTGCATTTGGCTTTCATTACTCGTCCATGCACTCTCAAATATAACCTTAAATGCATCTTCCCTTCTATAAATACCCTAGGCTAGCCTTCTTGTAAATACTTTAGAAATCAATATAGAGTAAGCCTTTTGTGCCTTTATATTTCCTTAGCCTCTCTTGGTCTATTTTTGGCCAAGAACCCTACCTATCTCCACATTGAGAGAAAACCCTAGAAGTGGCCTTCATCAACCATGGAGTGAGCCAAACCCTACAGAACCCTTTCAAGCCTTTCATCAAACACCTTCACCTCACCTCTCCATTTTTAGTTTCCATCCTAAAAACGCCCACCTTGAAGAGCTTGATCCAAGGATTCAAGGTATCCTTCACATTGATCATCATCTATCCATCAATGCTAGCAAGGATTCCATCACTTATTGTGGAGCTTTCTATCTCTCTCTAAGGAGGTCCACCAATACATGTCATACCCTTGAAAGCTAAGGGCTACCATTGGAACTTTTCCTCTTCACTCATTTTGTGGTTAGCAAAGAGTTGTTCCACTTTCATTTTTGAATCTAGATAAGCCTCTAAATCGTCCTTACCATGGAAGTAAGGGAGATCCACCTTGGATTTCCTTACTTTATGCTCTCTCTTAGGCTTATGATTTCTAGGCTCTTGTTGGTAGTACTCACTTATATATAAGATATTTTCACAATGTGTTAATTGATGGCTCTTGGAAGAGCTACTATTAATACCATGCTTTATTTTATTTTTCTTTTCTACGGACTTTTGTTGTTGTCTAAATTACTTAATCTCATGCTCTAGGCATGCGGCTTTATCTTTTCCATATCTATCTTTTTGCTTTCTTGTTCCAACATTTCTTTTTTTTTTTCTCTAAAGATTAAGTTTCTTTAGTTCACCTATGATTTTTTCAAGGTTTGGAGGTGATCCACTACTACAAGATACATATTCTACATCGGTTCTCTAAAGGCATCTACATCGGTTCTAAAACCGATGTAGAATAGAGCGACGTAGAAAATGTATACATTTTTACATCAGTTCTGAAAAACCGATGTAGATTTAAGCATAAATCTACACCGGTTCTCCAGAGAATCGATGTAGATTTATGCTTAAATCTATATCGGTTGTCCAGAGAACCGATGTAGATTTATGCTTAAATCTACATCGGTTCTCAAGAAAACCGATGTAGATTGCATTTTTTTTTATAAAAAAATCATGCTTATTTTTGGACTTACTTCAATTTATCTGACATGTGAAATAAATTTATACGTTTAAATAGATCATGCCACACATTAGGAGAGAAGATCTAATATATACAAAAGGCTTGGAACCTAAAAACCAATAGTAAAAGATAACTAGACATACATACATATATAGATTGAAAAGATCTAATAGCATCCATTGGTTGAGGAGGCAATCTAGTATCATTATTTTCCTACATTGCCAGTTGTATGGTTCTATGGCGATGAAGTGCAATAATATAAGTTGAAAGAGAAGGACCAGAAACAAGATGTTGTGGAGACAACTGACCAAGAAAGATGGAAAAATAAATTAATTAATTATCAAAGTGAAAGACATTGTACCCTGTCTGGTAGGTTTCTAGGCATTGGAACTGCAGTAACATATTTCTGGGGGCATGATTTCTGAGCATTTGCAGTTTCTTCAGAGGATGAGGTTTCTGCCCCATCATTTTGCCCCCGACCATGAAACTTGGCAAATCGATTGATGACGGAAAATCTTTCTAAATCTTGACATTCCACTCTCAAGTCCAAAATTGAGGCTCTACTATCCAATCTGCATCATCAACAACAAAATTGGTAAAAAGTAAGTAAAAGGAGAGAACAACAAAATTGTAGCCATCATGTTAAGATAAAGAAAAGCAACAGACACGAAAACAGAATAACCTAAACTAAATCTAAAGAGATTATAGTAGCAGTAGGCAATGGAAAAGAGAGAACACAGACCAATGCTTCCACATAAGATTTAACTAGGTCATAATCCTAGAAACAAGTTTGGACCGTGAGTTAGTGATGGATTGCTTCATCAGAAAATTGTAATTATACATTAGCAAAATGATTTGATGAGTTCAAACCTGATTTGAATTTGATTCAATTTCATCCCAAGATTTACCATTTCAAATTGATTCGATTTTCATGATCAGTTGGTCCTTTTCACCTCTGTAAAATAGAAGCTCAGACTGTAATTGCTCAATCTGACTTCGCATTCTCTGCATCTGAGCTCCCACTGGGTCACGATTGATCTATAAGAAAAATTAAAATCATCAAATATAAGAAACATGAAAACTGTCACTCACATTTTAAGAAAAAAGGGATAAAATGAAACAAAACATAAACATAAACATCAAGAACACTAAAATCTAGCACTTATAATTGCCTTGTTCTGAATATTGCGAGCTCGGTTAGCATACTTTAGAGTGTTCAATGTCTCTTCAGCATTGGTGTCAGCTGGACTGACACAGGCTGTAGTGTTCCAAACAGATTAGATGATACATGAGATATTAAAAGTGTAAAATTTTCAAAATCCATCAAGCAAGTATTGTACCTATACATATTCATTAACCAATTCCATGTCAAGATAATATAATATGAATCCATGATTTAGATATTTCAAAAATAAACACAACAACTAAAAATTTAGTATCTTATTTCTAGATTGAAGTTGCAATATATAAATCCCACACACAACACTCAGTTCAGCTACAAAAATAACAGGCACGCCTCCTTTCCTAACAATACATGACCTTTTAAATAATGAGCCAAAGAAGCCATAAACTATGGAGTGAGATATAGAAAAATTCATACATATTATATGCAAAAAAGAATATAGAAGCTAGTAAGTCATTACATGGTCACGAAATATCTGCTCAAATGGATTAAAGCCACTATTGCCTCCAAAACCAGAGCTTTGTTGGTTTACAAACCCATCATGGCCAATCTACATATCCATGTTAAACTAAATCAAATAAAGAGATTGACAATAAATACAATAAAATAACAACTAAAGCAAAAAAAAATGCCATTGTTCTCCAACCTCTCCCCTCTACTTTTCACTCAAATATATATATATATCCTCTAATATCCATAAAACAGATATTTTTTGCTCAAGTCCTACTTATGATCTACAATTTAGGTCTCTGTGCATATAATCAGTTACCTATTTTATAAACATAGTTAATAGTAACGATACAAGGTTCAATAAAGGAGCCAAAAAAAAAATCTGGAACGACATGAGACCTAGTCATATTGTTGGCATTTTTCCTCATCCTTCAAAACCTACAGTGCAATTATTCGAATGGGGGAAAGTCAAGAAACCAGAAGCCAATTCACTCATCACATAACAGTTTCAATTAGAGTTCTAGGCGGTAAAAAGAACAACAACAACAGTACACCTCATATGCAATTGAAACTTCTTTTCAGCCTCAGGATCATCTTTGTTTGTGTAAGGATGGAGCTTCTTTGCAAGCTGCAGAACATAGAGAAAAAAAATTGAGATGGTAGAAATGGCAGAGGGAAAGAATTATTTTAGACAAACAATTCATGATTATAAAGAGTCTTTGAAGAATTTGTGTCAAGAAAGAATGAAGGATAAGTAAAGGGAACTGTAAGGAATATGTTAGCAAGCCTAGAACTTGTGCAGACATTAAAATATTATAAGAGAATAATACATTCTGATTCTGGTAAAAGAAAATCATAAAAAAGTAGCAAGTAAAAAATTAAACAGCAAAAGGTGAAAGACATATTTCTGTAATATATAATGTAAATAAGTGATTGCATATGTAAGATCAACATGATTTAAAACAAACTCTTCCTAGTCCAATTCAAACAATTACTTTTAATATCGCTACTTTGGAAATGACTGCAGTATCCACATACTATAAAGAAAATGACAGTTTTGTAAGCATGTGGGAATGACATGAAATAAAAAAAGAATGTTATAATCTGATCCCTTTTAACCAGGAAAGATACAAGAAATCATAAATTTTTACCAGGAAATAAGTCATGTTTACCAAAATGTTTTTTTTTAAAATGTTCTAGTATAAATATATATTGAAACTAGTTAATCAAAACCTACCCCGTAGTATGCTTTCTTTATTTCAGAAGAACTTGCATTCTTACTCACACCAAGCACGTCATAATAGTCTTTCGCCAATGATGCTGAAAAGGAGTTGAGGGAGAAAAAGAAATCATTCACAAGACAAATAATTATGCATACAGGGGAAGACCAAAATAGAAAACGTGAGTTAATTGAACAATGCCTTCTTTGGCCACCTTCTTTTCGCTTTCTTTCATCTCTTAGAGAACTTATTACATTCCCAAGAGCTAATAGACCCTTGTTGATATGAATGCCTTGACAATGGAAAAACTAACTTATCACTAAAAGTTTAAAAATTGCATTTATAAAACTCATCTAGTAGAAAGGCAGTGGTGTACAATTTTCAAAATTCTATCGTGGTTTGTGAAAATATGATATATTAGAGAACATATTTTTGTGTATAAATTATATTCCTATTCTTATCAAAACAATATGCCCCATCACAAGCAAAAGGAATACCTTCTTTTAAACGCATGCCATCTGCACCAGTTCTTTTTGCACGTTCAGAACCATTTAAGGTAGATCACATTTGGATTCTATGACAAGTCTCATATAAATATAATACTAACTTTTAATAAATCAATACAGGAGTATCAGAATCCACATGGAATTGTAGTTAAACTAACTTGTGATCAATTACATACCTTACAATATTTCTTAAAGACAGAAAAGATAACATCATCATCTACAATCACTTCTACATGCTTATGAACTACGGTGATCCACTGGAAATTCAAAATAAATTCAAATTAAGACATAATTTCAAGAAACAAATGTTAAATAATTAGCTCAATAGCAAAGATGAAATAAAAAAATAAAAAAAGCTATCTACGAGGCAAACCTTCCTGGCCAGTTTCTCCACATGCATCGAGAAATTCTTCTCTAGAAATCCACAATGAGGTTGGTCTCCCTGGAAGAGTCATATGGAAACCAGTAAGCATGCATTATTTAGAGCAAGCAAATAAGACAGCTTGAGATTCTAAAGAAAATCAACAACCCTAGACATTCATGCACACCTTCATATACTGCAAGTCAAGCTCTTCCACACCTACGTGTGCATCCATTTCAAACTCATAAAATTTACCCATCTGCACCAACAATGAGGAAAAATATTCAACTTGGATCCGTTGAGGAGAACCCTCAGGTCGGCGACGACGGAGGGAACCTTGTTCTTGCCAACCAACTTGGAGGCATGTCCGTCGCCGGAATCCATCAAATTGAAAGGCGCCACGTCAGCCTTGAGCGCCTCGCACGAGAACGCGGCGACGACGTCAACGAAGGCGGAGAGCGCGACGGAGTGGTGGTCGAGAATGGCAGAGACGGCGAGCAGCGTGGAACGCGTGGCGGTGTGGAGCGCGGGGAGTTCGTGCTCGATGACGTCTGCGTCGTCGAATTAGAATGCGTGAGGTTTTGAATTTAGGGTTTTGGAAATGAGAAGGGGAGTGCGGGAGGGGGCATTGGAGAGGAGGAGGTCGTTGAGGAGGACGAGGAGGAAGGCATGGGATTCGCGTAGGGTTAGGAAATCGGTGACGGTGATGCGGTGGTTGAAGGAAGACGGAGACGTGGTGACGGCGAAGACGGAGGAGGAAGAGAGCGAAGAGGCCTTGGCCCCGCGTATGCTTTAACCTAGCGTGTTCGCGGGAGGGGCTCATTTCTACATTGGTCATAAGCAAAACCGATGTAGAATAACTTCTTAATTCTATTTTTACATCGGTCAATCATAAAATCGATGTAAAATTTCTCATATTTACATCGTTTCTCTTTCTAACCGATGTAAATATGTTTGCATTTTTTACTTATTTACAAGTTTGCCACCGCGTTTATGATTTACATCGGTTCTACTAAAACCGATGTAAATATAGCGATGTAAAATAATATTTTTGTAGTAGTGTGAACAATAGTTATTACCACTTTGGGAAGTGTGTGAAGTGTCCTTAAGCATGATGCACTTGTTAGAAAAATGTTTTTCCTAATCTAGACGAAAATGCAACCTAATGTGTTTGAAGAAATCTTTGGAACCTTTTAAACATTCTAACATTTGGAAAGAAAATAAAAAGGAGTAAAAGAAGATTAAAGAAAGGCTATTACTTGTTTCTATGTGAAAGTTTGGGTAGATACTTGTGAGTCTCTCATACTTTCACAAGCACTAACAGGTTGCTAAACAAAATTACAAATAAATTGAAAGTTCTGAGTAAGCAATTAGAACCTCTCAAAACCACTTCCTAGAAATTGACCTACATAAGACAAGAATTAAAAAAACTAAAAAACTAAAAAATTTAAACAAATGTAAATAAATCTTCAAGTCTACACAATGAACAAACTCATTAGTGTAAGAGAGCTTCTAGTGTTTCACTCCTCCTTAAAGTGTTTGATCTTTAAGCTCTCCCAAAAAATAGTCTCAACCAAGGAGCAAATCCTCCTAGGCCTTTATCAACATTCCAAGATGTTACCTTGCGGCAAGTGTCTTGATTACCTTCACTAAGAAATTTGCATACCAAAAACAACACTATAGGAAATTTTAGAAGAAAAATATTAAAAAAACAATTAAAAGAAATCTAAACTCAAGCAAAATTAAGTGTGACAAAACTCAAAGAATTATGAGAAGATGGACAAGCAAAAGTTAAGGTATAATTTAGAAGCTAAAACATCAAAGGAATAGTCCTAGGATTGGTTCTAGAATTGGATCACAAGAAAGGACGACTCAAGTTCACTTCCAAATTAAATGCAAATTTGAATGAAATAAAATGTGAAAAAAAAATTTTGAATTTTTTTTTTCACAAAACGCGCTCCACATATTTCCTTTTTTTACCACAAATATTGTTCTTTTTTTCTTGTATTTTTATTTTTCTTTTTTTACATTTTTCTTTCTTTATTTTGAAGCTATTTTGTAATATTTTTCATTTGTTCTTGTTGTTGTAATTTTGTCACAAAATGTTCCAAAGCAAGAAACTCAAGATTGCAAAAAGTTTGTAAGTAGACAAATTCAAAATAACTCACAAATTGGTTAAAAAAAATGCTACTACTTTTGTTTTCACTTAGACATTTGGTTTTCAAACTTTATGAACTTCAAAGAGAGAGTTCAAATAATATTTTACTGCAGCCTCAAGATTTTAAATGATTCACCAAAGTTTGAAATAAAATTTAATCACAAAAAATTCAAAGAAGCAAGAAATAGGGAAAACTACAAGACATATGAAAACCAAATTTTACTTGGAACATGTTAATGAACTAATAACATGCATGAACACAAAGATTATAAGCTAAAAGCTAAAAGCACATATTTCCTAGGTTCAAAAACAAAAATGACTACTAGAAGTGATGACAAAACAAGAATTACACATGACATCAAATGAAAAATACTCTTAACACTACATGAATTGTATTTCATACTTTAATCATCATTTCATAAGTCAAGATGTAAAGGAAATCTTGTTGTACAAGAATCCTAAGGTCATACAAATTGATTTAGTTCATAGAAACTAGATCTAAAAAATTTTAACCAAAATTTTTCAAGAAATTTTAGATCCATCATATAACATACAAATATTAGATCTAAGCAACAAACACTATACAAGACATGTAAGAATACTTAAACAATATTAAAAAGTATAGAAGAAACCTCCAGGGATGAATCAAAGCTCATGATACCAAATATGATTAAACTAGTCAATGAGATGATTTTTGTTTCTCTTTTACTAGCTCCAATGATGCTCTCAATCTTCCTCCATGGACTTGAACCATAAATGGTGGAGGGAGCAAAGGTGAGGTGAGCCACTTCAAAGTGAAGATGAGCAAGAGAGGAAGAACTTGCCATAAGGAGGAAGTCCTTGATAAGGAGTAGATTCTCCAAAGAGAGAACTAAAGCTTTTGAGAGAGAAATACAACAAGTAAGGGGGACAAGTAAGGTTTTTAGGTCAGTGGGGATTAGAACCCAACAGCGGTCACCCCTCTTTTAGGTCTGGGACAACATTGGAAAAAAGACCACTTTGGTATTAAAGGCAACCCATTAAGCATGAACGCATTAATACAAAGATTTAATGAAGAAGAATCAAGCAGAACAGAAATACACAATACGGACACAACCTCAAATAGAGATTACAATCCACAACAAGGAGCCAACCCCAGGGGTTTTAGCCTTCCATCAAACGAAAAATGTAGTAGAATATATAGTCAAAAAGGAAGAAGAAGAAGAAACTAACAATCTGTATTCATTCAATGTAAAATGCATCTCATATACAAGCAGAAAAGCAAAACGTGAATGGAGAAGAAAAACGTGAATGGAGAAACAAAATAGAAGAGAAAAAACATAAATGAGGAAGGAGAGGATAAAACTAAACGTGGTCACATCAGTTTTAAGGTTGGTGGATGCTAGGTCAGCCCTAACCTAAATACCTAAGACCTAAAAATGCAAATGGGCCCAATCCCATGTGTTTGGCCCGAAATTACAAAAACGGATAATACAAAAATAGGTATCTAAAAGGGTGCTAATGTGGCGCTAACATGGCACTTTGTCTCTTGAAGTCTGAAATATCCAAGCCTAAAAATGCTTCACAATTAACCTGAAAATAATTAATGGACAAAAATTAGACTAAGTGAATTGGAATTATTTAAATTTCGAATTACTGGCCCAATGAAGCCCAAATAGTAAAATCGTGCAATTAATAAGAAATTAAGCCCAAATCATCAATTAAAATAAGTACAAAAAGATAAATAAGTAAGGGAAAATAATGACTCATCAGTGTTTTAATTTGAATTTGCAAAACCTCTCATTCGTGTGTTTGTTATGTATTGCGAGAACCTTTGCTTGGCTTGTTATTCCTTGAGAGACGACCTAGGAGTCACTTTCTAGTACTAGAAAAATTTCATTGCATTTGATCGAGTATGACCTCGATCAGTTAACTTCTATTCAAAAGTACTAACTCTAGTTACAATTTGAATTTCGAATTTTCCCCTAAAAAATGTCACTTTCGTATATCTAAAAGAATCAATAAAAGTTTGCCACATGGAAAGGAATAAAAAGTGTGACTTATGTCAATATCCTAGACCTAGATGAGCCATTGGGAGCTTGTCACATGCCAAAGTGCCAAATGTGTGACTAGAAAAGTCTATGTGACATGTTGGAGACTTGAATTGGTCATGGGAACACCTTGTCCACTAGAATTTAATGTCCAAAACTATGGACCTCACATCCATGATGCCCTCATGAGCCAATTTAAACCCAACAAGCTCATATCTCATTTTCTAGTTACACCCCCAAAAACATTGTAGACACCTCTAAAAATAAAAATTACAAGGAAATAAATTGCTACACTAATTGACCCAAAAATACAAGTTCAAAATAAATAAAATATTTAAAATAAAAAAATATACACAAACAAGAGAGTATAAGCCACTAAAAAGTGACCTAAAGCTCAATAAAAGCTTGAGGCCTCTTCCTTCAAGCTTAGTCCACTCTTCTTGGTTCCTCTTGGACATGGCCCCTAGGCATAATGTCATCATAAAGTGTGAGGGAAAGGTCTTTTAACTAGAGTTAAAAACATTTAACCAAAGAAGTTAATTTTAGGTTAAGGATTAGTCTTTTTAAAAAAGAAAAGTTACATTTTTTTAATGCTTACGCATGAGCATTACGAGCACACCTTGAAGATATTCATCCTTTATCTATTG